AATTTCCCAGCAGTCATTTGGCGGGACGCAGTGTGAACCGTCTGCCGGACCCGAAATTTGAACACCATCCACGGTCATGCTCTGAAAGGCAAAATCTGCGTTATTTCACTTGCAACTGAAAATGTCACAATTCTCATTTAGCAATGAGTACCAGGAGGTTGCAATCCAGCAGTTCAGCGTAGACATAATCACTGTTCGGTTTAACTGTATATTCGGTTTGAGTACCTGCAATAAAATAACACAGTGCTTAACGGCTTTCATTGTGAAGTGTTGAAAGGGAAGGCACCGTTCAGGCTGATGAAGTTTAAGTTGGAAAGTAGGGTTACCTTGTCCCAAAGTGCCACATGCCAGCGTCAGACAAAGGAACAGACGAAGCATCTCCAGACGAACGTACGGGTGAGTAGCCCTGGTGTATGCCTTATATACTCGGCGTAAACCAATGATCGCGTAAAAACAAACTTTAGAAAACAAAATTGGCATTCGGTAGAATCTGACCACGTAGGGAGATCGGGTGCGCTTCAGGCTCGCGTATGTGTGCCTAATTCAAGGGAATAACTGCGACCGTTTGAACTGACTTGCGGGTTCACACTGATGCGTATTAACCTCCACCCACATCATTCTCCCGTGTTCTGTTATGCTTATTGACGCCTACTGTGATGACCCCCTCCCCCCCGAGATCAGTATCGCCGACAGGAGGGACGGATATGTTCTCAACAGCCGGCACATACGCAATCTGCTCTCCACTGATGCCGGGTTGTTTTGCTGCATAGTGGTGCCGAAAAATTCAGCATTTGGCTGCGCCAAATTAATGCATCCATATAAAGGTCATCCAGATAAAAGCCGTGGAAAAATCCGCCGATTTAGGTAACGCACTAACACGCTGCATCAAAATCAACAGCAAATTTAGATACTTTTTTTTAAAAATGTGGACAGATTTTTTTCTAGAGTAAAAAAGTTGGGAAAACAGTAATTTTTCGCCATATAAATAAAGAATGAATATATTTGTCTGCATATTTTCCGTAAAAGTCGAATGTATTCAAAAAAGCAATGAATTCAATTTGAAAAAATTGTGCTTATAAAGGAGAATTAAAGTTCATTTTATGGTAAAGGTATTATACCGTACTACCGACATAGATACTTGCTAAAAGCCCGGACACGTGTTTCGCCGATATTCTGCCGCTGCGTGACACAGCTGCGAGGTGTTTGGCTCTTCAGTGGGACCCCCAGCATTCTCTAGCGGTTTCTGGAATGTGAACTCCAGAGAATAATCAAGTGAATAGTTTCAGAAATAATTTAGTGCAGGACTTGGATTTCATTTTATGTAAGTGGTTGTAATGTGTTTGTTCGGGAGAGGGAATTTATTTGCATTGTTTGACATGGTAAATAATATGACAACTTAAGTTAATTTCTTGCTTTTTAATTTTCCCGGAAATGTACTGAGAACGCGAAGTAGATCAGAATATTCCAAGATCTATATGCGCAGACCGAGATCTTACGTTCGGGCCGAGATCCATCGGACGCTGCAAGGTGACCGTTTAATATAAATTAACTGTCGACAGGCAGCTAGTAGTATAGTTCAGGGTTACATGATACCATTTAAGCAGCACAGGTACTCCCTAAAAGCTAACTGAATAAGTGAAACTCTTGCGTCCCTGCCGCACAGCGGTGAACGCCGCGTGTCTGGGTCACTGCCTAATAACTGTGCCGCTCGAAGAATATCCTCTAACTCTTAAAGCTAATTTAAGCGATTTTTTGAATGTAAACTACAGTTAATATCTTTACTTAACGCCCGATGAGATGGCATATTTACAGTGCACAAGACTCACTCGCATTGGCTCCGCGGAATCCGCCACCGCATGGGCCTCTTCGGTCACATGCGCATGCATGAACACAATTGTCAGAAATCAGGCAGGCATTGACGACATGACCTAATCGTCCGCCCCCCCCCCATAAACACACGCGCCGCGCAGGCATCTCTAAATTTTCTACTGAACCTCACCTATCCCCCATGTGGGAAATGTGCTTTTTGATCTCCTTCTCTGCATCACGCCGCTGCTGCAAGTGACATCTGCTTATGCGTAAAATCCTGGGGCGCGCGTTTAAGCAGACTTCGCCGAGCATGTGGCGTGTATAGACGAGCGGTCGATCTCACTCAGTTACTATGCACATTTCCCTCATCAGACGACTGACCCTCTCGGACAGTGATTTTGCGTCTGGACATGAAAACTGAGAATGAAATCGACGACTGAGAACAATTTTTTTAATGTAAACAATCCGATGGGCTTGGCAATAGGATGATGTGCTATAGGCCGTGGTATGAAAGGTTGTCAAGTGACGGAATGACTTGGATCGCACAGTCAGCCCATTAAGTGCTTGTGTGGGTTGCCGGACTGGTGGCCTGAGAGTCTATCAACAATGTCACCTACTTAATAGTATAGAGAAGTAGAGTCAGTCAACAGGGTCTCCTTCTTAATGCGGGTTTTATGGCATTGGCTGTCATTGGGAATCGAAACGGGTTTGGTGGCAAGCCTAGAGGCAGCTGCGATCGCACCATCAGGCGCTCTTGCCGCCATCGGCCAAAATCCTGATCGAATGTTTGTTGTGGATCATGGGGTGTGACGAAAACCCCTAAATTCGAGTTCGGCCGTACCAGCCGCCTGTCCTTACCCCACCCCGTTTTCTCGACTATGTCTTGGCGCAGCGCCCCGATGGATGTGTAGGTCCACTGCTACCACGAACTAACTCACGCAAAAGTCACCGTGCTTTCTCTCACCCTGCTGTATAGCCACGGCGAAATCATGGACCGCGAAGTTCGAACTTGATGGGGGATTGATTTTATTCCGACCTTTCCATTATTTGTATCGTTTGCTTGCGTACGGCTTTGGAAGTAAAGGAGTTGAGATTATGTCCGATTTTCTTAAAACGGAACACTTGCCTTTGTATTAGCTCACTTTACTCGAATGCGTTAGAGGACAGTTCAGTATTCGTGACTAGCGATGCCCGTTTTTTGTTCTGCATAACTGTGAGAGCGTGGATGGTAAATGACTGAATTATTTCTTCAACACCGACAGCAGACTTGACTTGCATCTATCTAACTCTCTCCCCCATTTGGGCTCCGTGTTAAAACAAGGTAGAGTAAACCAAAAAGGGGAAGGCGTAGATGGTTGGCTTAATGAAAACCCGCACTTTGAATTTACGTCGCACCACCTGGCTCATAGCATGCACCAGCTAAGATTTAACAGCATTAAAATAGGGGGAAGCTCGAATTCCAACATGTGGAACTACCTTTGAGACCACTGTCAAATTGTGCGCTCCAGCCTTACTTTCAGTCCGGTTGAAATAAAGGATCACCCTAATATTTTCATGAACGTCAGATCGTTTTAAGAAATACGTGTGCCCACTTATGAAGTATGATTTTTATTGACTTCGAAATCCTCATATATTGAATTATGTTTTAATAAAACACATGAGAACCGCAAAATACAAACGCCGTCACCACGCCGGCGGACTATTGTGGACCAGGCGGCAGAAACCGGACCTAACCACGAACGTAGTGCTTCCACCTCACGCGCCATAGCTTAGGATTGTGTCTAAGGAAAACTATATCAAATTTCGCTATTTGCCCTCGATCCTTCACCTTTAAAATGAACATGGCTGACGCTCGCCTGCTGGAGGAGCTCGAAAAGTTCGCTATGCGGCCGGATATCATAATCATGGGCGACTTTAACGCGCCCCATATTGACTGGAGCTCAACCCATGCAAATAGCTCAGAACAGACCTTCGATAGGAGTTTTCTGAACACGGCATTGAAGCTATTTCTCACTCAACACGTCATGTTACCAACTAGAGTACGCGAAGGCCAACAAGCCAACTGCCTTGATTTGGTCCTTACGAAGTCACAGCACAGCATTGATGAGGTGTCATGCCTACCCCCCTTAGGTAAAAGTGACCACGTCGTTCTTCTCTGGGATTACTCGCTTTTTTCCATGCCCAAGAAACCCAGGACAGTTAGAAGAAACCTTTGGCGCGGGAATTTCGACCAAATGAGGGCGAAAGCTGATCACCTTTCAGAATTTTTTCGGTCTGTTTTTAGTAGCGAAACAGGATTCAACCCTTCGACCCCTCAATCCTTCGAGGACACCCCAATTATAGAGACCGTACAGTTCACTGAGGGTATGGTTCTGACGGAGTTGCTGAGGCTAAAGGAATCCAAATCATCAGGTCCCGATGAGATTCCGGCGAAGATTTTGAATCAACTCGCCGGTGAGTTGTCGAATTCACTCTCCTTGCTTTTCCATACATCCTTCGAGACCGGATATCTGCCACCCGACTGGAAGTCGGCGTGGATTACGCCGCTGTACAAGGGCGGAAGTCGGGTCTCTGCGAACAATTACAGACCGGTCAGTCTCACCTCCATTTGCTGTAAGATTATGGAGAAGATAATAAAGCAACAACTAATGCAGTTCCTTGAACAAAACCATTTGCCTTCCGATTCTCAGCATGGATTCCGAAAAGGCAGATCCTGTGTGACAAACCTGCTCTACTGTCTAGAACACTGGACTAGGGCTGTTGATAGAGGAGATATGGTGCATGCCATCAATATCGACTTTAAAAAGGCCTTCGATAGTGTGCCTCACCACCGCCTTCTATACAAACTTAGCCGTGCAGGGGTGCGGGGTAAGCTTCTGATGTGGATTCGGAGCTTTTTAATCGGCCGCTCTCAAGCCGTCCACATCGGTGACCAACAATCTGCCGAGGTTGCCGTTAAGAATGGTGTTCCCCAAGGCTCTGTTCTTGGCCCTACGCTGTTCCTCGTATACGTCAATGACTGCGCAAACGAACTGAATTGTGATGTCGCAATGTTTGCCGATGACATAAAGATCTGGAGTACCATACGAAGCGAAGCTGACGAGGCGCGACTGCAGACAAATCTGGACCACCTCCAGCAATGGTCGAAAGACTGGCTTCTACCGTTCAACGTAAACAAGTGTACTTTCCTACGCGTCGGCCAAACCAGTTCTCCTAACCACACGATCTACCGTCTGACTGGCAAACCACTGCAAGAAGTCGACGCCCAGAAGGACTTGGGTGTATGGATCACAACCTCACTTAAGCCTTCGCTGCAATGTTCAAAGGTGGCCAAGTCGGCGATGTCCATACTATACCTTGTCAAACGGGCGTTCTCCTCCTTTAATGAAGACTGCTTCGCCAAGGTCTTTCAAACTTTTGTGCGACCGCATCTGGAGTTTGCTATCCAAGCATGGCGATCCTGGACCGCTAAGGACTTGGGCATACTCGAAAAAGTTCAACGGCGAGCAACGAAACTTGTATCTGGTCAGTGGTCACTACCATACGAAACGCGATTAGCTAATCTTGACCACTTTCCTTTGAGTTACAGGCAGCTACGTGTGGACCTGATACAAGCTTTCCGCATCGTGCGCAATCAGGGCTGCTGCCTCGCGTTTGGAGACTTCTTCGAGTTGGCGACTACGACTAACCTGAGAGGCCATCCAGTCAAACTGCGTGTGGCTGGTGCCCGGCTAGACACCCGAAAGTTCTTCTTCTCCAACAGAGTGGTTGCAGTCTGGAATGCCTTGCCTGAGGCTGTTGTTATGTCTGGCTCGGTAGATACTTTTAAATGGAGACTAGATCAGCATTGTAGCGCGCACCAGAATAATGCCGGACTACGGCAACCTTGACAGCCAATACTGACAATTTATTGTTATGGAGATGCTACTATCAACATTTAAGTAATATATATTTATGTTATTTATTAAGCTTGGGGCACGTCGCACACAGCTGTTCGCATTCACCACGATGCCTGTAGATCAAACATTTTTACTTCTTTTCCCGTATCTTAAGTGTGCCTCAACTATCCACTGTATTTGATCGGCAAGGTAGGTGATTGTGCCTCTGAATTCTGTTAACGCATGACATTCTGTGTTCATCTGTACAGTTTTCGCCATTCCCCTCGCATTTCTTTCATGTTACTTCCTTTCCATTTCCTCTATATATATCCTATGCATGTAACCAATAGGGATTTCAAAGGTGCACACCTACTTTCCCTGAAATATACTAATACTGATACTACTACTGATAAGCGTAACAGGAACTGACTGTTATGGAACTCCACATTGAACAGGGATCCATTTTGAACAGTAGTCAATAACAGTAGCCATTTTTCTGTGATCGATTACAGAGTCTTAAATTCCGTTTACTAGGTCTTCTATAATTTTCAGTGTAGGTGACTGAAATAAGAAAATATTTCGGAATTATGGCAGCAGTGGAAAACAAGCTGGTATATATTTTTCTGAGACGAAAATTGTAAAGTGTTGTGAATATGTATGATAAATGACTGTTTATAGGTGTTTTGTGGTTACAAGTAGTAAATTTTCTTCGGTGCGCGGCGTATGGAACAACAACAAAGCAAATTGATTTGTTCTACTAAAAATGCAGGCCTACATATATTTTACCTCACGTGGGCAACGCAAGATATAGGTCGAATAACACAACTGCGTCTTGGCTAACCACCCTGTGTGTGACAAGTTCGAGTTTCCCACTATGACCGTTACTTCCTACGCTTTCTTATGTCTACCTTTTAAAGAGGATTGGATGTTGCTGTCGATTTTTGCAATGGCTGATTTATGCTCCTATAGTTATTGGCAGATGGACACTAAGGGCTGTTTCAATTTATACTACCGCTAGTAATATCTCACCATCCTGTTCGATATACTGGTCAAAATCATAGCCGAGCCATCTCAGATGCGTATTTGTTAATGCGAATTTGAAGAGATTACGTTGCTTGGGTAGATAAAACTTCAACTATGTCAGTGTATTTTAACAGTTCTCCAAAACCGTTCTATTGGTTAACCTTTTGGGCATTTTCAAATCCAAATACAGATTTTTATAAGCTAGCTGTTTTGTGGGTAGAAGAACTGTCTTTAACATACCGTAAAAGTGTATCATGTCACAGAGTTTATAATTACTTTACCAAAGCACAACACCGTCCAAATGACCAAAGCAAACAAAAAGGCAAATCCTGCATCTCAGTCACTACTGGGCACAGTTCTGAAATGAAAAAATGTTTCGACCTAATTTCAGTAAATGACCTAGCATCACAAACAGTTGATCGGATCGACATCATAACCTACACCAAAACCAGAGTGGACAGGGGCACGCCGATACTAAAAATCAAACGTTTTAAATCAAAACACGGCTCCCTTCTTTGAGCTACTACTAACTACATATTAAATAAACGCAAACATGCTGTCAGCCAGTTTTTTAATAGTGGCATATTTGGGCGAAGGCGGCATCGGTGCTGTCTTCAAATAAAGTGTTTTCTACAACGTCATGTTTGTTAGCGAAACGCGGACCTGGACTTTAGGATGCTATGTGAAGTGTGAAACATAGAATATCTCGCAACCTCAGTACATATATAACCACGTTTACAATTCCTCCATTGCAGTTCAACTGTCATCGTTCCATAAAAATTGTCTTTCCTGGTGCTTCTTGCTTAATATTATGGTCATTAAAAGAAACGATATAAAAGCTAACATCGTTCCCATAAACTTTTGACTCAGGTTATAAATATTTGCAAATTCACCTTGGGAAATGAATTCACTATGTTCAAATATAATGAACAAATTCAAGCGCTTTGGAATGAAAACACTAATCTCCTCATTTTTATGCCCTTCGTTTTCAGAACATGCTCATTTACGCCGATGTTGTCTGTAGTGGATTCTCGGGCTAGGTCGCAGTTGATAACCCGGAATGGGGAAGTGGACGGCGACCTTAACCGTAACCCTGGCCTTAAGCGTAAACGTTAACCGTTAACCTTAACGGCAACCCTAACCCTATACCTGAGAGAAATTGTAAACGTGACCGTAGCCCTAAGACATATCCGTAACTGGCAAGCCTAACCGTAATACGGAAACCTAATCGCACGCTGAAACCCTAACCGTAACCCGAGAACCTAGGCCCAAATCCACAACCCAAACCCGAAAATCGGAAACCATTAACCTCTATCCTAATTCTAACCTCAAACGTAAAACGGAGGCCAAATGGATCGGATTTGATTATGGGACCCCAAAAAATAGCCCCAGTAAACAACCACCCAGTCAGCTGTAATAGGGGATCTGGCTACTAACTGCGATCTAGCCGATTCCTCGGATTCAAAATGCCTTGACCATCGGCTGTTATATGTTGTAAACCCGTCTTTTTTTGTCGTAAAACAACCAATTAAGTAAATGTCCTGCTAGGTAAAGCAACCTTTTGCGTAATGAATTAATTACGAACTACATGTTAAGGGAATGACAGTCGGAATCTCTGAAGCTGGTGTCTATCATTTTTGGTCGATTTCACTAAGGGGAACCAACCGGAGTCTCAATGTAGCCGCTGGTAAGCACATCTTAACCCTTCACAAAACGGACATTATAGGATCTGGTAAAATTAAGTAAGAAGGAATTTCTCGCATTACAGTTTGGAATATTTCAATCCTTCACAAGGTGGGATGCTGTTGATTGTAGTAGTGCGAAGCAACTTTTTTTTAATTTTCCCAAAATTATGGCGATAATTCGGAGAAGATTTGTCGTTACGTAATATTTCTGTCCCTTCCGGACATATGGAATGCTATTTGCCACGCTTCACCCGGTCCAATCGATGTCGTCCACAGATGATAAATGAGTGAAAAATCCTGACAAGTAGACAATGTATCAAGATTGTTTGCAGAAAAAAATAAGAAATAAATGTAGACCGACACGCATTGCACGACTGGTCGGTAATCGGTTTGTCCAGTTGTCTACTACTCTAGCTAAGTCCCAACTGAATGAGTTGCAGTGTAGAACAAAAGTTGTTATCTATAGGCTACGTTTGTGCGTGTGAGAAGCGCCGCGAAAGTATACTTTTTTCCGGATGCTGAAAGCCATTACAGAGAACGCAAAGCCGTTGAATTAGGCTTGTTTTTTTGCATAAGTGTTAGCAGACAAACAGGGGCACATGCGTGTGGGTTTAGGATTCGGGTATTTTTAAAGGTGTACAATACTCAGACGAAATGAACCTGAGTTATATTCAGGTAAAACAGGTGTGTTGTTCACGTGGGTATCACGCGCTCATCGGTGCGTAAATTGGTAAAATAAAATCTTCTGTGGTGTATTCCATGGAGCAGGCCCAAGACAACCTTCAGTCTTTGACATAATAACCGTGATATTGATATCAACCTCCATAAACCAACGTTGTTTTATCTTTCTCATGCACAACTGTGGCTGAGATGACATTTATCAGCAAAGCATTCTAATACCAAGCCACCTGTTGCGGTAACCGGATCATCCTTTATTATAAAAGGGCGTGCAATGTCAATTAATTTAAAAATATCTAATACAGAGTTGTTCATAAGCATGTATCACAGAACATGTCGTCATATGACAACCTGACAAGCTCATCGTATTCGTGTAACAGAAAATAAATTCTGAACCATGTGAGGTAGGGACATCAGCTTATTATTGTCAACGTGATCTTATAAAGAAAGCCAGTCCTGTAACGAACATGTCGAAGAAACAAAGCGATTATCTATTAGTCATTACCAGCCCTATCTTCAACAACGAGTCAACGAAACTTAACGCAGCCGAATCTTGTTAGGTCGTTTTAGAATCTGTATCCAAACTGTACAGTTTTGGCTAAGCACCACACTTGGATTGCACATACCAATTTGTCGTTCGTAATCCGAGTCTTCCGGAATCGCATAATTACGACACCTAGCGGTGATCAGGTGAGCTGTTAATTTCGGTACGCATGTGGTCCCACGGCAGCTATATACTATAAACAATGCAGTGTTTACGCCACCATTACCTTTATCTATAGCAATCTTTGACAATGCGTTCGAGTGAGAATCCTAAATGTTGAGCCAATAAACTCCTTGTTTCAGTCATCTTGTATTCTTCTTCTTCTTCTGAACTGCTTCTTGGAAGTAGCCTGTTAGCTCCTATTGTAAATTAATCCCTTTTGCATTATAAATTATTATAAACACTGCAATCCTTGTGCCTTCACCACCTTTACCTGAAACAATCATTGATAATGGCGTCGAGTGAGAATCCTAAACGTCGAGCCAATAAACGGCATGTTTAAGTAATCGTAACTCGAACTGCTTCCTGAAATTAGCCAATTTGTTTCTATTGTAACTTAATCCCTTCTATATTATAAATTATTGCACAAATGCAATTTACGCTTTCAAACCCAAAATATATTAATACCCGGCGCATACATAAGGTTTATGAACAGACGAATACCCCTGAAGTGCATTCACAAAAAGGAAAATTATCTTAACGTTGGAGATATTAAACGGCGTACCGTCACAAGACAACCGGAATTCTAGCTTGGTCTATTTCGGAAAGCAACTTACCGCAAAACGCGGATTTGATTTACTAGTTATAATCCAAAGAAAAGCATTATTACTGGTTAAACATGAATGAAACGTAGATCATACAATGTCACTGTCACTTATCACTGAGCATTCAGACACCTCAAAGAAACAATTCGGTAATAATACTTGGCGGCTGTGCTTCAGATAAAGCCTGGAAACCAGGAATATTGCAGACTTGTCAAACAGACATTTCAATCAATGGGATTTCCAAATTCTAAAATTTTTCACAGTATTTTCATTTTCGATTTTGGTGGGTCATAATGTATGACGGTGATTTTCCTCAAA